CGGCCAAATAGCTCAACAGATTAAAGCGCCTGCAAGCAGGCACAGGGGCCGGAGGTTTGATCCCTGGGTCTGCCCTACCGGCCCTACCCCCAGGCACACCGAGAAGGCAATTGAGACTGGACGTGGTGGCATGCCCCTGTAATCCCAACTTTTGGGAGGCTGTAAACAGGCGAATCACCATGAGTCTGATCTAGTAGTGAGACCCTGAGCACCCTGTAGACACACCCTGTAGACCCTTCCCTAAAATTAAAAAAAAAAGCAGATAAAAAGCACTGATTATTGCTATCTGGCAGATGCATCCCAAAACAGTAATGTGTCACTATATATACCAGAATGACTAAAATGAAACAGCCAACAAGCCAAATGCTCCTGTGATTGACACCCAGGATTAGGAAATGCGAGGAGAGTTTGGACTACATACACTCTATGGAGTGAACATTGACATAATGACATTGGGAGTCGAAATAGCTAGTGGAGGTAGCCATGTGCTCTTGCTTGCGTACCGCGGCATCTCCCCTGCCTGGCATGTACCTCCCAAGTGCATATGTATGTCTGCCAAGTTGGTGTGCAGCAGCATTGTTTGTAATAGTCCTAGCTGGAAAACAGTCTCAGAGTCCACCAAGGACAGAATGGATTTCAGGTAGGACATAGCCACAGTGTGAGTGCAGCGTTGGGGACGGTGATCGCTGCAGACAGTCCCGCATGCCTTTCCAGGCGGGCTTGGCTTCTCCCTCGGCGTTCTGCACACTTGGAAGTGATTCGCAGAAGCCAAAGCTCTTCTGCCTTTGCCTTACTCAAGCTGCAGTTCTTCCTTCTCGCTCTGCTTTTCAAATCACACTTTGAAATTGTCCTCTTGTCCACTTCTCGGTCTCCTTTGCTGACTTCCCTTTCACTGATAATGAAGCTGTTCTATATCGTGTACGTCGGGGCCCTCATGTCTCCTACTACCAAGTTACTTGGAGAAAGTCATGCAGCTCCGTGACTTTGACCACCACATTCTTTCTGTCACTTCAAATCTTTTTTTTTTTTTTTTTAATTTAGTACAGGGCCTCACACCACATTGGACTCCTAGTGGTCCTCCTGTTTTCAGCCTCCCAAGAGCTGGGATTACAGCTGTGTGCCACCACACCCAGTCTCAATTGTCATCTCAGTGTGCCCCGGGCTTGGGGTCGGCATGGCAGGCCCGGGGATCAAACCCGTGTTCCCTGTGCCTGCTTGCAGGAGCTTTAATCTGCTGAGCTGTTTGGCCGGCCTGATTA